ATATATATATTCAGTCTTTAGATGTAATTGGGCATCTGAGCTTTTGTGGAAGGTTGGCAAGATGGTTTTATGCCATAAAGGTTTTTTTGCCGCAGGAAGTGAACCCTGAAGATTTGTAGTTGTCCCTAGGAAACCTGGGGCCTATTGTGAGGGGGAAATTTTTCCCCCCAAGTGATGTCTATGTCATTTTCTCATTTGCAATTTAAGTTGCTTCCTCTGCTTGAAATGCCAATTAGAAACGTTAAAAAAATCAAAAAATGTTGAGAGACATTTAATCTTAAAGTTGTAGCATGTTGAAAAATCAGACTCCTGTGCTTCTAAAATAGTTTAACTTTAGCAGCACAGGCTGGCCAAGAGCCTAGCTTTTATTAGTTACTTTTAGAACTGTATTTAAACAGTTTTTCTTCCAAGTAATGAATATAATATGTTTGGTTCAACAGATACTGGACCAATGGCTGAATGCAATAGTTTTTATGATAATTTTACAAAATCATGCTTTAAAAATGTCTCATACAACTGTTAACAATATAAACTGTCAAATAAAAGATATAAAATTTGCATTTCAGAAATTATACTGTGGGTCAGATCTCTGAATCTAGCCAGAACCTCTTTACTTCTGGATGTAGTTGTCCCAGCACAAAACCTCTCTTTCATGTGAGGATGACCTGTGATTGCAAGGGTGTAGAAAACCAATTGGTTGGTTTTATGGAGCTTCACCAAACGAAATAACCTGTATGTGCCTGTGTGTGTATTTTTTTCTTTCCCTGGAAGTTTGAAATGAATGCAGTACTCGGCATATTGTCATATTAATATATTTTTAAGGAATTTCTTTTACATTTAAATCCCATTTTTTAAAGACATCTTTAGGGATCACCAGATTGCATATGTGTTGAAAAGCTTAGTGAAATTTGAAGTTGAAGTGTAACTGGGGCCCCATCAAAAACTGCCATACTGCTGGAATTCTTTCAGTCCCTCCGGAAGTGCCAGGAGTCTCCGTCCCCTGAAATAGCGAAAGGAGCACAGGCAGTTTGGTCTGCTGATTGTCTCTCTCTCACGAAGCAGATCTGCTAAACGTTTTTACTTCGCTGAAAA